ACATTCAAGTCTTTGCTACACCCAACAACATAGCTTCTCCATCCCTATCTCCCACAAACTCTTTGCTCTCATCAAACTAATGCACTTGTGATTTCCAATCACATTGTTCACATCCAAGAGGTCCTATCGAGCTTCGTTCTGCCTCCTTAATGACCGAGTCACTGCTAAACACTACAGCTCCAATCGTCTGTAGCATTTACCAACTGCTTCTCTTACTGGGCTATCTTTCTATGTATCCATCCATCTCTAAGCTCTTCCAAAGTCACGCTTTCTTTTGCCCAAGGCCTAGGAGAGTATATACACGTAGTATAGTGACAACGTATGTTTCTGAGGATGAACTTAATGAAAAAGAAATTGTTATACTGTGAAGGGATAATCTGGGAACTACTGAGATACAAGCTGATTGTCCCTAAACTAAATGGCCCCAGACCACTCAGCATTTATAACTAATTAATCTACTATTTCCTTAAATATTGTCAGATGTTATTTCTCAGTGTTTCAGCTTCTAGTAGCCCCTTTCTACTACCAATGCCTCTAAGACATCTAGTTGTTGTAATGTACCAACTGCAAAGGGCTTTGAGCCATTACACTTCCAATGGAATATGCCTTAGCACAATACTGTGTTTCCATATAGGCTAGCTGCTGGAAAACAAACAAAGTGCTTTAACCACACGCTGAATAGGTTGTGCCCCTACTAATTTACTCATTCAACAAATATTTCTTAAGAGTCGACCATGTGCAAGGCTAACCTGAGTACTGGGGATACACCAGTAAGCAAATAGATGCTGACACGAAAAGAGTCCTTGTTTTCATGGAGTTTTCATTCTAATTTTATTTGAGAAATACATGCAAGAGAAATAGATAATATGAAAAGTAGTGATACATATTAAGACAAAGAATAAAGCACAATAAAAGGACAGAGAATGAGAGGGGTATCACTTTAAGGTAGTCAGAGCAGCTGTTTCTAAGAAGCCAACCTTTGAGCAGAAGGAAGCTTGAGGGAGGTCAGGACGTGAGCTATGCAGATAGCTGAGGGGAGATATTCAGTGCACAAGAAGAAACGGCAAAGACCTTGGAGACAGGAGTGAACTGGCATGTCCCAAATTAGCAAGGGCACCAACAGAGCTCAAGCAGAATGAGTGGTGCCAACAAGGTTAGGAGATAACATCCGATACCCTCTGTGTTCGAGAAGCAGACAGAGTCCCACTACACAAATAGACACACACTCTCCGAAAAGGGCAGTGAGGGCAATCGATTATGAGTATCTCATCTTTATCAATATGTAACTTAGGAAAAAGCTAGAGAAGGTCTCTTAGGTTAAATTATAATTTAAAAATCTGCAAATCAGGGCCAGGCTGAGAATTAAGCAGCCCCAGTCCTCAGTGAGTTCACAGGTTGATAAAGGAGAAGAACACATAAATGGATCTCAGAGGAAGAGGCTGGACGTCCAACCTGGGGCCAATAGAAAGGCCCACTCTGAGCAGACCTCACAGGGACCTTCCAGAGTGGTGGCACCAGAGGAAAGGCATAGGACCTGTTCTTGACAACAGCATCACCATATACAGCTAATAGTGACAGCTTTAACAAAAACAACAGCAACAAAAACAGACAAAAAAAAGAGATAAGGAAAAAAAGAGAGAGACAAGGAAAGAAATCCAGTTCAAGTTCTCAAAATAACTTCTATTTCATGATTAAAAAAAGCAACACAAGCACTTCCCAAAACACAAGTATTGGGTCCATTCAACATTCTGCTTCTGCTGGGAGGGCCCCACCAAACTCTACCACTGGGGAGTCACAGGGTCTCACCCAACCCTCACAGGAAGACTGTGAGAACCGATACACTGTCACAAACTCTAAGTGTTGTGCTCTCAACTCTGGCCTGCCAACCGTGGTCTTTCTATTACACTCTCTATTAGTATCTTGAGGAAAAGATCTTTATCTTACTTAATTCCTTTCCCATTCACTTCCTTGAGATCAAGGAGAAGGTATCACAAAGACAAGCTTTTACTTTTGGACAACCTATTCCAGTTCTAGTGGGGTCAACCCAATACACAGCGAAAAATGTCAGGTCATGAGCCTGTGCATGACTTAATCTTTATTTTAAATATATGAATGCTGACACGAATGGAGTTAAGGAAGGATTCCTGGAAGGTGTGCGATTTTAATCTGACTTTGAAGATTAATATCTCAGAGAATTAATATTTTATCAAGAAATCCACTCTGTCTGAGAAGTAGTATCCACTACCTACTTACGTCAATCTTCCTTACAAACGAATTCCTACAAAGTCTCAAAGTTTACGTAAACTACTGCAGTTGATCCTACTCTCCTAATAATAAAGCATCATTTAAAACTTAGTTTATACTAGATCTCCAAATAGCTAGCTATCTATGTTCTTGGTAATCACTTGCTTTCAATATTAATAGAATGATTTCACAGTCTCATAAGAAATGTTTAAGCTAGTTTTGAATTATCATCGGTGGCCATTAAAATTAGATTCCTCTCGCTGTTCACTAGTTAATGCAACGCTGGCATGCCAATGCTAGACATGAAAAGCTTATAGCTAGAATGATGATGGTCAAATGTAAGAGCATCCCCAATTTTCATATGCTAATATTCCCCCTTAAATTATAAGCTGATCCATAACACTGCACTATGGTTATAGTAGATGAAACATTTAAGTAGTAGTTTGGTTTCACATAGAAACTGTTACCAAGACAAACCTTCTTGTAGGATGGAGTTCCAAGAACATTAAATCATAAGAAATTGTTTCAGCAGCTGGTTAAAGCTGAGTGTACATAATACAAGACATCTGGTTGTCTGTGCATTTTCAGTTCATTTAAAAAGTATAAACACATTAAAACATTGAAATGTTTGATATATTACAACACTGTCTGCCTGTTCCCCAAGAGTGTTTAAGAGGCTGGTCTAGTCAAGGTATTCATGGTTTACTTACTAGCTACAAGGATTTACTATTTCCATCCCCCTTAAGTTCACCAAGACATTTTATCAACAAAGGTTTAAAAAAAAAAGTACTCATTTAGGATATATACTAAACTGCTGGTATTTGGTTATGACATAAATTTAATAGAGGTGGGCGCTATTTCAAAAATTAAATCAGGAACACATGAAGCATTGCACATACTATGACAAGTAAACAGTAGACAATATATGTTCCCCTCCCACATTGGACTATATGTAACAGAAACTTAACCACAGTGGTTTAACCAAAATAAGTGTTTATTTTTTCACATAAGAAGAAATCCAAAGATAAGCGATCTAGGTCTGGTGTAACAGTTCCATGCTCTGGGAACACTATTCTTTGCATGTGGCGCTTGCCATCACAGTTTCAAGATGGCCCAAGCACAGCCTCCACGTTCCAGAAAGGAAGAGAAGGGCAAAGGGCAAAAAGCTGGAGGTACCTGCTCTGCAAGGTCATGACTTCTGCTGACATACAATGGGCCCAAACTACGTCATGGGGCCACAGTTAGTTCCCAAGGTGCCTGAAAACTAAGCTGGGCAGACACTGGCCCCCCAAACAATAATGGAGATCTCTTAGAACAGAAGGTGAGAAAGGATATCAGGCATGCAAATAGCTGTGTCTGTCACAAGAGTTCCACTTGCAGAGGACATTTTGTCCCATGCCATTCCCCATCAGATGACTCTCCACTTGTCTCAGCCCTACCTCCAGGCTGCACATCAGCAGACCAATCACGATAGGGCTTGGTGGCTCTCATTTCTAAATCCAGATTACAATTCTGGGCACTGCACTGTGCACGACAGAGGCCAGGAGCCCATTTTCTCACAAATCCCTGTCTTTCCTTTTGGGCCACAGGCACATAGCACATTTCCAATGACATCCCTGTGTAGAGTGAGATTCCGTGATGATAAATCTTAAAGTCTACTTCATTTCAAAAATAATTCCTTTAAAATATGCATTTTCAACAGGGGTGGTATCACTACCAAGAGAGTGAAAATTGGTTCTTCGGAGGTGAAAAACTTCATAGATATGATGATTTGTGGCTCTCCAAAGGGCCACAGCACATAAACAGATATTCAGTGTATCTAGGGTATTCAAATTTCATTAGGGGGAGAGGCAATTAACAAAAAAATGTCTACAAAAGAGTCCTCAGAGAGACAATAAAAAAAGAAGTTTGAGAGTAAGTGCTTTAAAAGTAACAAACATTTTTAATCATGTAGGAACTGTGTTCAGCTGTAGTGACAGAAATCCAGTTATGGCAGTGTAAACAAATAAAGAGTCTATTTTTCTCACATAAGAAGCCCAGAGGGTGAAGGGGGCCAGGGGGTTGGTAGTTGATGTCTCTGGTTCAGCAACTCAATGACATCAAAATAGAACTTTCTGTGAGTCTCTTGGCTCCGGGTGCCAAGATGGCCACACAAGTCCAAAGAGCTTGACCATATTCCAGACAGCAAGGAAGAGGACTGCCAAAAACAGAAAGAGAGGCCTCCTAGCTGACTCAGGTCCCCTGAAAAACCTTTACCCGGAAGTTTCAGAACTTCCCCCTACATCTCACTGACCACATCTAGCTTCAAGAAAGGCTAGAAATGGAAATCCAGCTGCTCCAAAAGAGGTCAGAAATAAAATCAGGAAGCAAGGAAGGAGAGAACAAATACTGGGTGGACAACTAGTTGCCTCTACCACATATGGATTAGATTCAAATTACTTCTCTCTTAAAACCCTGTTTACAGACATCTATAGGATCTCATTACAGAGATTAATCTAATTCTGTACCTACCATATGCTTAATATTGCTACAGAGTTTGATTATTTTCCCCTTAACAACATAAAATTCTTGCTTTGATGATAATAGTAGGAGTATAAATGTTATTAGGCAAGAGAGATAAAAGAAAGAACTCCATGGATGTACGTGGAGACATGCATAAAGTACCACATCAGAACCCACAAACTTTTCAACATGGTCAATCACCATCTTCAATATAGAGAGAAGATAAAACAAATCCTGGCTTAGCCAGAACTTACAAGAGTGGAATATCGGTGATTAACTGCATCAAACAGCAGAGCAATTCTTCCAAAAGATCTTCTGAGTCAGAACCTGGTAAGACACATAGAAAGTTTTTTTTAGCAAAGTATAAAATAGAATACAGCTGAACTTTTTAAAGTTCAGTTTTCATTCCTAATGAAAATAGGAATAGTTATTACATAAACTCAGACACTAAATGTTGACCTCTGAATAAAATCCAAACCATGAGCAAGTTAGCATCTATTATGATCTTTATCTAGTATAAGAATTTTGAGCATCAGCTATTAATTCTATAGCTTTTAATGCTTGAAGGTATCTCATGGGTCCTGTAGGCCAGGATTTTTCAAAGTTCTTATGTTCTACTGTTTTTCAAATGAAATCTTATACTAAAGTCAAACATATAAAATAGATAAAAAATGAAGCTGCTCTAGCGGCTTTCTTTGAATCACAAGCAGAACACCTGCACCTCCTCCCGCCAATAAGTATCTGATTTTACCCTTGACCTCCTCGATGGGCCTCACGCACCTTTTCTGAACTCATGGGGCTCCAGAGACAACACAATGAGACCCAGTGAGCGGCCAGCCACATCTTTACTGAGAGCCAAAGGTAAATGGCTTTCCCAAGTCGCAGAATAAGGTGCAAATTATCATTCCAACAGAAACACTCCTCTGTCCCAAACTGCTCTAAGTGACCTTCTAATTTCCAAAGCCAATCAGTACCTTATGTGACTTCTGGCTTTGGACACTACTGACACCTACTCCTTCACGGAATTCTTTCTTCCCTCAGTTCCTATGACACCTTATTCCTAACCTACTTCGTTTTCTACTCACTCCCAGTTCCTCAGAATATGTTTCAACTATTGGTGTGTTCCCCAGAGTTCCACCACTGGCTTCTTCTCTTCTCTTCTCATTCCCTAAATTCTCCTTCATCAATCATCACTCATATGCTGATGATCCCTAAGTCTACAGTTTTCCTCTTGGCCTCTCCACTGAGCTTCATATTTTTATATCCCATTACCTACTGGCCCTCTCCACCTACATGCATCACCAGTTAACTCAAACTCAGAATGTTCAAAATTGAACTCCTCTCTCTCAACACTTCAAATCCACTTATTTCTTCTTTATTCTCCTTGTTAGTGACTGCATCAGCAACCCAGGCCCAGTAAGATCATTCTCTTACTCATCTTTTTATAACCAGCCAATCTCTAGGTCCTTTCAATTACACAGTCTACCTCTCTAATATTTCCTCTTTTCTTCATTGCCTGTCATGCTTTCCTTCATCATTTCACCACCTCAGTTCAGTTAAACAAGTTTACTATGTTAAAACTCACTCCTGAACCTCTTTAAACTTTCCTAACTAGTATTCCTACCTCCAATTTTGCTCCTCTCTAATCCAAACTCCAGACTGTTATCACAGAGAGCTAACTAAACTCCATCCTCTCACTCTCCTGGCTTAGATTTTTTCAATTGCTTTAAGCTCATTACTGTGTATCAGAAAAAACTCCAAGCACCAAAGTATAGTCAGGCGTCGCATAACAACATTTCAATCAACAACAGACCACATACATGACAATGATCCCATAAGATTATAATGGAGCTGAAAAGTTCCTGTCACCTAGTGAAATCATAGCCATAGTAATGTCATAGCACAATGCATTACTCATGTGTTTGTGGTGATGCTGGTGTAAACAAACCTTCAAACCATTCAGGAAGCATTCTAGAAAAAGCTATTGCTACCATAGGAGACAAGGACTCCATGCGTGTTACTGCCCTTGAAGGCCTTCCCGTGTGGAGGTAGAAAACAGTGATATTGATGATCCTGACCCCGTGGAGGCTTAGGCTAATGTGTGTGTTTGTGTCTTAGTTTTTTAAAAAAATTTAAAAGTAAAAAATAAAAAAATTTTTAAATGAAAAAAGCTTACAGAACAAGAATATAAAGAAAGAAAATACTTTTGTATAGGTGTACAATGTTTGTGTTTTAAGTGTTATTACAAGAGTCAAAAGTCTAAAAAAATTTAAAAATTTATCAAGTAAAAAAGTTACAGTAAGCTAAAAGTTAACTTATTATTGAAGAAATAAAAATATATTTTTATAAATTTAGCGTAGCGTACATGGAGTGTTTATAAAGCCTACAGCAGTGTATAGTAACGTCCTGGGCTTCACATTCACTCACCACTCACTCATCCAGAGCAACTTCCAGGCCTGAAAGCTCCATTCATGTTTAGTGTCCTGTATAGGTGTACCACTTTTTATCTTTTATGCCATATTTTTATTGTACCTTTTCTATGTTTAGATACACAAATACTGATCACCGTGTTACAACTGCCTGTCGCATTCAGTACAGTAACATGCTGCACAGGTTTGCAGCCTAGGAATACTAGGCTATACTATACAGCCTGGGTGTGTAGTAGGCTAGACCATCTAGGTTTAAGTATACTCTATGATGTCTGCACAATGATGAAATCGCCTAACGACGCATTTCTCAGAACATATCCCCATCATTGTGTGACAGGTGACTGTACAGTATGCCAGGACCTTCAAGACACAAGGCCTGCATCTTTCTACCTTTATCTCCCACCATCACTCCCTTCACAATCCCCCAATACCAAGCTACCTGCCACATGCCATTGTATGCCTCTTCAAGAACATTCCCTCTGTCTGGAATGCCCTCCAACAATAAAAACCTGATTTTTTTAAAAAGCCAATCTTTATCCATCTGAACCATCCTCAGTCTTCATTTCCTCCATAAAACCCAACTCTCTTGTCTCACCCTGAATAAAAACAATCTACAAAGCATCTATGCCTTGTGCATATGTCTTTCATTGTATATGCTGGTTACATTATACCATTATTTCTGTCTAAATCTTGGCAGGCGCCTATTGGACTCTGCTCTTCTTGAGGGTGATGACTGACAAAGAGCTTGGCACATAATGTATACTCAATACATGTTTTCCGAACTGAATCCAGGTGTCTAAGTACAAATCTAGTGGTTATTTCCAAAGCACTTGGAATCTCAAAAAAAAAAAAGTTTAGCATTTCATTTTTCTAGACCACAATATCTCCTGGTACTCAGAAAGTATGAAGAAATTCCTTCCTGCTTTGCCATAAATAGAACTGCCACAGTAACTCTCTAAGAGGTGAGTGCAAAGTTTGAAGAGAATATTAAATCACACTGAACACGCCAATCAAAGCCAAAAAAGAATACACAGCAAGAATCAGGATCAATAACTACATTAAATCTCACTCTAGAAGTGGTAGGCTTAGCTCAACTAGTGAAGAAAGTAAAATTAGGAAACAAGTAACATTTGCCTCTGAGGCTACATGACAAGGAGTAGATCTAACTAAAATCCTTCTCATTGTCAAAGCTGTCCAACATAACCCAAGTGAATGAACAACCTATTCCAAGTTGATCTGTTAGCATATAATATATACTCAATACATGTTTGCTGAGCCGTCATTCTTCGGTTCATCTTACAAAATGTAGTGACCCAGACCTAAGAACATTTAAACCACTCACTGATTCCCTAAAGAACATTCCAGACTCAACGGGTTGGCCAGTTTAATAACACATCCCTGTTCAGCCAAGCAGCCAGCAGAGTTTACTATACAGAAGGTAAGGGAACAAGTGCTGAGGACCCACGTATGGTGCATGCTTCCACAGCAAACCTATACTCCCTCTGTGCTCTTGATCCTAGTGCCTCCTACTTCCCTGGAACGTCCTTCCAGCTTTTTCTTTTTTCCCTTCTTTTGCTTCTATCTTCAGTCTCTCAATCTCGAAAGGCCTCTTCTTTCATTTAAAACCTTAAAAAAATATTTGTTAAAAAAACTGTAATCGCCGTCTGCTGGCAGTAGTACGTGGAGCAGTTGCTCCAAAGAGCCCTCCTGCACAAAACAACCAGTTCTTGGCTAGAATACACTTCTTAGTGCATTGATGGGCTTCTGCAAAGTAAAGGAAATCTCCAAGGACCCTAGCACCATAACCAAAAAGATGGACCACAAGCTTTCAAACTATGGCTTGGATCCAGGGTAAAATGCTGGAGCTGTAAGCAAACTCTCAGGTTAGGGTGACCTGAGGATGAATGCCAACACGAAGCCCGCTACTGGGAGACTAGGTCCTCAGCCTTGCCATGGGCTTGCCACTGGGAAGCTGAACCTGAGATGTCACATTAAGCCAAGAATCTTTGAAGGAGGCTTAAGTGGCCTCAGGTGGCACAGCCCCTGGATCCCTTCAGAAGCAAATGCAAAGCCCTCCCTTCTTTGGGGCTCACATTAAGATCTAACAAACAAAGGCTAACAATTGAGATCATCAAACACATAAGGAGACAAGCCACCGTAAATATTTGCAGAAACAAACAACAAATTTAGACCCCTAAGGACTTAAAATATTGGATTTACGAGATACAAAATGTAAAATAAATACGTTATTACCTTGGCAAAAATGGGGCATAATACCAAGAGAGTGGAAAGGAAAACTCACACTGAAGGCAAAGGGAAAATGGAAACAATTTTGTAGTACTTCATAGTTTTGCCTAGGGCTGGCTTTGTCCCCTCTGACTATTTACCAAGGTATGGAAGAGTGGAAAGAACTATCTTTGCATAATGATACAAATTCTCTCTAGCAAACAGTCTACTGCCATATCATACACAGCCTGTGGGAAAACATTCCACAATGAGGTCCTCATGAATTTTCTATTACAAACTGAGAGTCACAATACCTTCATAAAGACAGCTTCCGTGCATGTGCCAGCCATATCCATCTGATCACAGCAGTATTACAAAGAATGGAAATAAACAAAACAATTCTGCATGCTGTTATGTCTCAGTTGACTTTGCTCAACTATTTAGAGACGGTCCTGTACTTTTGTCAATTCAACCTTCAAACAACTTTGACTACTGTATATTATCTATCCCTGAAGTCTTTCACACATCTGCTTCAGATATTCATATATTAGCTGATAAATGGATGTTTTCAGCTACTGCACATTGAGGTTCCATTTTTTCTTATTCAATACTATCTATACAAATATTTAATTTTATCACACTTTTATAAATTATAAAGACATTGGTAGAAAATGTAAAAAGCTACTAGTGAAAAGTAGAAATCTCAAACTAACAATATGTAAGATTAAAATGAAAATAATTACATATGCCAAAAACAGGAAGACTTTAACCTTAAAAAGGCATTCAGGGGCCAGTCCCATGGCCAAAGGTTAAGTTTGTGCGCTCCGCTTCTGCGGCCCAGGGTTTCGCTGGTTCGGATCCTGGGCACGGACATGGCACCACTCATCAGGCCATGCTGAAGTGGTGTCCCACATAGCACAACTAGAAGGACCCGCACTAGAATATACAACTATGTACTGGGGAGCTTTGGAGAGAAGAAAAAGAAAAAAAAAAAGAGAAGATTGGCAACAGATGCTAGTTCAGGTGCCAATCTTAAAAAAAGAAAAAAAAAGGATATTCAGTGGACTTAAGCTGGTAGACCAACAGTAGGCTCAATTGTAAATGAAAAGAAAAAAACAAAGATCATGTATAAAATTCTGAATGGCTAACTCGGTATAAAGAAAACGACAGTCTGTCAGTACATGGATAGAAGCACCAATCATCAGAGCTCACAGATGGCTCTTTCAGTGAGACAACCATCCTGATAATGTGGCCCGTGGTTGAAAAAGTGTCATTTTTACGCTGCCCTTACTTTGGGTTTCCTAGGATGTATGGCAAAACTGTGCTGCTCAAGCTCGGATATGAGTGGGGAGTACAAAGAGGGTATTCTGAGAGAACATTTGGCCGCAAAATAAATAGAGTGTATCTCTGAAGTGCATCAATTTACTCAAAGGTAAGTAATGAAAAATAATTTTATATTAAAATAAAAATGATATTGTGTTAAAGTACAATATATGCATAATTTTTTATGACATAATGCAAAACAAAGTGTTGGATTTGCAGGTGCTGGTTTGACTGTGCTCTCAGGCCCCATGGGGATAAACATTCACTCCACTCTTGCTGCTAGAACTTCATGGAAAGATTTGTAACTCAACAGGCAGGACCGTTTGGGCATCGTTGGTGCCACAAAAACAAAGCCTACCATTAACAAAACTAACACACAATTCTGATTAAATGCTCTGTTTAAACATCAGCATATATTTAACAAATACAGAAGGCTGATTATCAAAGTAGTAAATCAAACATATTCATCTCTGAAAACTCAAAATCAATGTATAAAGCTCTGGGTGGGCAAAAAGCCCGATGAGGACAGTGATGCGTTCTGAAAAACGAACCCAGTAAACTCAGGAGCAATGCTGCCGTTGCCCTGAGAAAGAGAAGTTAGCGTGACGGGTGGATACAAAACACCGCCTTTCCCATACTTCATTTGTTAATGGTCCCGTTCCGCCCTGTACTTTCCAGACTACGAGTTTTGATGCTAAAAACTGAAACAGCAGCCGTTCATCTTGAAAACTACAGGCCCTTCTCATTACTGGCAAAAACAATCTCCACAGTATCAAGAGGAAATACCTTTCCCTGCATCTTCAGAGAAAGACGACACACTTCAGCATCATGAATCGTCCTCGAAAACGTGATTTCTGATCAAGTAGTCCCAAAGACACCCAGACTCAGACACTGTTGGTATGTCCTATGAAAGTAACCTTTAACATTCATAAAATCTGTAATTCTGATTGGTTGTCTCCCCTAAAAATGTACCGCCCTAGTAGGGATATTTAAATTGGCATCTCTGTTTTCTGAAGGGACACTTGTAATTTTTATTTTTATATTCCATAAGTAAATAAAAGCCTCAATCCTACTGCCTTCCTTATTAAAAAAGAAAAAAAGAATTTGAGAGTCTTGGCTCATTCAAATTAACACAGGAGAAGAAAGAATGACAGTGTCAGGTCATTTAAAAATGAAAATTATGAGAAGAAAAATGGAATTTTCAAAATTACACTTTTATTCCTCACATTTTATCCTTCTATGTTACACATGCCATCCCCAGAACATCTTCAAGGGCGATACTCACTGTAACTGCCAGGAGATTTGTCTTCATAAGTGAAATGAAGTTGTAATTCCTCCTCTGACATCTCACAGATGAACACTTTCAGCAAACAGCAAATAATAAACAAAGCATTGTGTGTCTGCCAAATGAAGATGTGGCTAGAAAGGAAAGACCGAAATCAAACAAGAATCAATACTTAATCAGGAGCACGATCAGTTTATTTCTAGGCCAAGATTTCTTCATGATTTCTCAATCATTTTGCCTATTCTGTTTGTAATATTAGAACAATGTCCGTATCTTTTAAAGGCTCCTGATTTATTACACTAGACCAGTGAGATCTATTACAGTTTACTTTATACTGCATTCTGTGTATTTTACGTAGTGAGACAACTTGATAAAAATATTTTCCTTTAGGCATGACTGCTCTTTGTTCTTAACTTTATAGTTGCCCCACCCACAGGCAATTCAAAGAAAAGAAAGCTAAAAATTCAAAAAAATTATAGTAACATAAAGAGAATATATGCAAGTACACAACTAAAACTTTAAACAGGACACCCCTAGCAGCACAGTATGATACTTGCTATTTGTATCAATAACCATGAACTCAACACAAAAATTTTTAATTGGATCCAATATAATTTGTTTGGAAGTGGCACAATGAACAATCTTTTAAGAGACTGCCATCCAAAAATGGTTTTAAAAAATGCTTGAGTGCGTAATAGGTTAATCTTCCACTGCATGTAATATAAAACCATAATATTTAATCTGAACCTTCTTTCATCTAATCTGAAAGAAATAAGGGAAACAGATATGGAATGAAATAATACTCAAACTAAGTCATTATTTAAACTAGCTATGACCAGCAGTGATAATGGAGAAAAATTACCTCTTTTAATAATAATTATATCGCTATTAATTTTCTTAAAAAATATATTTCTAAAGATTGTCTGAAATGCTGAAATCAAACAGATTCTAGAATTTAAAATCTCATCTCCATGACTCAGACAGTAAATTAAAATCTCTCTTTTACTTTTTTCCCTTAATAATGAGAATAATTCCTTTACAGCTCTCAAAAGATCATAATCTATTTCTACCAACAAATGAAAAACACTCATAGTGTTAAATATAAAGAGAATGTGATTTAATCAGCCAGCTTACTTCTGACATTCTGCAGAAAGTTTTAGTTCTTTGGTTCTAGAAAGGAAGACCTTAATTAGCGCACCAAAGTTTCCTGTTCGAGGATTGTTCTCAACTGCAAGAGAAGAAAAGGTTTTAAAGAGTTAAAGTTAAGAAATGAAATCAAAGTGAACATATTATAACATTTATAAAACCAAATGTCAAATTGAAGTTGCTCACAGACAAACTTTATTGTTAACTTCACATCTAATTAGGGAAATAAGCAATGAGAGAAACTGCTGTTTGGTCTTAATCCTGAACAAAAAATGATTTGCAAAATGAAAATGACAGAAATAGTAGGAAGAAGTAGCTGCCTCATTTCAGAATCCAAAATTTTAAAGAAAAGATATAAAAGTTTATATATGTATATATATAAATACACTCAATTTATACACATATCCTTCTCTTTAGAAAAGCAGATATTAAAAAAATTGAAAAACTGGGACTGGCTCCATGGCCTAGCGGTTAAGTTGGGCACACCCTGATTTGGTGGGCTGGGTTTGGTTCCTGGGGGTGGACCTACACCACCCATCAGTGGCCATGCTGTGGCAGTGACTCACATACAAAACAGAGGAAGACTGGCATGGATTTTAGATCAGGGCAAATCTTCCTCAGAAAGAAAAAAAAAGGCCTGAAAAATTGATCATCTATATCCCCAATATATACAATATAATAAACTTTAAAGGTAAAACTGTGTTCAGATAATCACAAATCATTCTAATGAAAAATAAATAGACACATAAAGAAAGCAATACAGCCAAAGAGAAGTTTATTTGATCTGACAAAATTTTAAAGAATTTGCTTTAAAAAAAAATCAATTTTAAAAGGTGGGCAAGGGGCCAGCCCCATGGCTGAGTGGTTAAGTTCGCATGCTCTGCTTTAGGGGCCCAGTGTTTCGCTGGTTAGGATCTTGGTCATGGACATGGCACCACTCATCAAGCCATGCTGAGGTGGCGTCCCACAGGCTACAGCTAGAAGGACCCACAACTAAAGATATACAACTATGTACCAGGGGGCTTTGGGGAGAAAAAGGAAAAATAAAATCTTTAAAAAGTGGGTGTTTCAGGGTCTGGCCCCGTGGCCGAGTGGTTAAGTTCATGCGCTCCATTGCAGGCGGCCCAGTATTTCGTTGGTTCGAATCCTGGGTGTGGACATGGCACTGCTCATCAAGCCACGCTGAGGCAGCGTCCCACATGCCACAACTAGAAGGACCCACAACAAAGAATATACAACTATGTACCAGAGAGCTTTGGGGTGAAAAAGTAAAAAATAAAATCTTAAAAAAAAAAAAAGTGGGTGTTTCAGCAAATCCAGCCTAAAAAACTGAGAGGATACTGTAATGAGAATGAGAAGATCTGGTTACTAGATCAAGGTCTATAATTAATGGGATATTGAACCTCAGACAAATTACTTTACTTCTCCAACCTCAGTTTTCTCATCTGACAAAGAAATAACAGCTAACATACATTGAACAATATACACTAAGTGCTTTACATGCATTACCTCATTTAATCCTCAAAACCACCTATGGGAGAAGCATCAATATTATCTCCATTTTACAGATCCTCCTGTCTAGGTCGTTACTCACTCAAGGACACACCCTCATCTAGTGGCTCAAATCCTTGGCTCTAAACTGCTATGCTATACCAACCCCTATAATCAAGGAATTAGACTTAATGAAACTATAAAGTTCTATCAGGCTGCACAGCAAGACATATGTGATGGTCAATTTTATGTGTCAACTTGACTAGGCCACAGGATGCCCAGATATATGCTTACATGTTATTTTTGGGTGTGTCTGTGAGGATGTTTCTGCATTTAAATTGGCAGACTGAGTAAAGCAAATTGGCCTGCCCAAAGTGGTGGGCATCATCCAACCCACGGGTGGCCAGAACAGAACAAAGGCGGAGGCAGGCTGCATTCTCTCTCTGCCTGACTGACTGCTTGAGCTGAAACACAGGTCTCCTCCTGCCCTTGGACTGGGACTTTCAACACTGGCTCTCCTGGATCTCAGGCCTGTGGCCTCTAATCGGAATTTAAACCACCAGCTCTGCTGAGTCTCCAGTCATTGGACTGCTCAGCCTCCATAATCCTGTGAGCCAATTTCCCTTTTTTTTTTTTTTTTTTCCTGCTTTATTTCCCAAACCCCACCCCCCCCGGTACACAGTTGTATATCTTAGTTGCAAGTCCTTCTAGTTGTGTGATGTGGGACGCCGCCTCAACATGGCCTGACAAGCGGTGCCATGTCCACGCCCAGAATCCGAACCCTGGGCCGCCGCAGAGGAGCATGCGAACTTAACCACTCGGCCACGGAGCCGGCCCCCGCCAATTTCTTATAATAAATCGCCATTCATCCTATTGGTTCTGTTTCTCTGTAAAACTCTGACTAACACATCATAGAAGGACAGAAGTTAAGAATTTATTACAAAGGACAGACCATCTAGTCAGAAGATTTAATTTTACTGATGAAGAAAGAGTCCCAGAAAGGTTAAGTGTTGGGCTCAGAGACAACAATATGTCAAGAAATGCCCAGTCTTTTTGCTTTATGAATGATTTTCAAAATGTGAGATTCCAGAGTTCTAGATATTTGTTTCTCTTTTGAAATGTATTTTTAACTATTTTGAAAACCGGAAATGCAAACACTCAAACACACTGGCATGTGCTGCCAGAAGAATTCATTTTTATGCAGATCTGAGAATTATGTTTTTGCTGCCATCTCTATGCAGATATTTGAACTTCTTTAAAATGTGTTAAACATTTAGAAAGATGAAGTGTTCCAGAATTTTTTTTTAATCCAGGTCTGCACATAAATACTTTTAAAAATCATACTTGGCGATCAGTGCATCATTACAGCACACCTGCTTTGAGCTCAATAACTGTCAAGTTAACTCAGGTCTACCTGCTGGGTATATGTTCTTGTCATAGCTTGAGAGGCAATGAAAGTTACTGCGTAACTTTCTCATGATAAAATGTTGCAGCACCTTGCTATTCCAAGTGTGGTTCATAGACTAATGGCATCAGCCTTATCTGGGAGCTTGCTGGAAGTGCAGAAGCCCGGGTCCACCTTACACCTACTGAAGTTGATAGTTCTCAAAGTTTAATGTGACTTTAAATCACAAGGCGTTCTTATTAAAGTGGAAATTCTGATTCTGCATGCGTGAAGTGTGGCCTGAGGTTCTGCAACAGTCTCCCAGCTGATGCCCACTGCTACTGGTTGGAGAACCCACTGGGAGTAGCAAGGTGGAGCACGGGCCTGTAAGTTAGGGCAGGTTCTGTCCAACCTTTATAATCAAGAATAGATATGCGATTAGATAACAGACATTGTTAGAGTTCCACTTTGAAATGAAAATTTCCTACTTCCCTTTTAAGCTTTGCATGTAGCTTAATGAAAGACTATCCTGAGATCTCAGGATGCATTGTTTAACAAAAAAAAAGTTATGTTTGCAAGTATATCTCTGTGGGAATTAATATTATCTAGCTATCATAAATCAAAAGAAAATAATGAAATAAGAAACTGAGGATGATATGACTATGATACCAGCCCAAGGCTGACATAAGGGAAGCCATACTGTAGAAAAGAAACCATATTGTAACTTTGAATGACCTCCGATTAACTAACCCAGACGTGCTCTGTAGATTTTATGGCCCTTCCCAGCTGCTATAAGTTGGTAACTGCGCTCTGTTGAGTTCCTTAGGAATGTGATGACCCCCGGGCAGAGTCTATGCTGACAGCCATCATCAGTGACAAGTGAAAGATCAGGGTATAGGGCGTTGCTCTGGTCTCTGATGCATATCCAGGAAAACAAAAGGAACTAAGACCAGATGTCTGCCCCCACCTGGAGATCAGATGGAGGCCCCACTGGGATTAGGTCTATTTTTGAGGGACTGTTAAAATTTGGGTTGTCTATATTTCTTATCCTTCTGGTTGGATGCTTGATTAGAAAATGTGCCTTTACATGCTGTTCCAAAATGGTTGAGCAAGGTACAAAAATTCTAAAATGCAAAATCTCAACCTGAAGCCAGGAACAAGAGAATATTTCCAAATTAGTGCTAAACAGTTTCATTTCTCTAACCCAGATCTATCCCCCAACTCAGCAGGAAGTAGCTAGATGGGTCACCACCCTAAATCCCTCAAGAATGAGGAATACCAAAGAATAGGGGGGACTAAAACCAGCAACAGTTAGCCATTGATGACTAAGCAGCTAGTAACTAAAGTTTTTTTTCCTTTTTGCAATTACTGATTATAGTTTTCAGTTGTTCCCCTGCCCATCGTTAACTGTGTTGTTCAGGGAATATGCTATCTGAGTCCCACTAGGTTCCTACAGATAACATCTCCCTGGAGCCTGGGTCACCATGGTAATGGGTGTTTGAGCTATTTTTCAGGAACCCCTTGTCCACTTTAGGCTGGTTGAGACCACTAACCCATCAACTGGGCTGGCGCAGATGTCTGATGAGCAACCTTCTGACGTCAAGAAGCTGAAAATTCCACCCTCAGATCATGCTAATGTCACCATTTGATGAACACAAGTCCTGTGAAGAGGCCTGAAGTCTGACTGCGCTTGTGCAGCTCATCATTACCTCTCCCCCTCACCTCCCACCACCTCTCTCCACATCTCAGACCATCTTGCCCCCCCATCCCATAAATATCTCCGAGTCTCCATTTTCAGGAAAGCAGATTTGAGACTCGTTCTTTCACTTCCTCACATGGCTGCCTTGTGATTAAACTCTCTCTCTCTCTCTGCTGCAATCTCGTCATCTTGGTGTTTGGCTTTCTGGGCAATGGGCAAAAATGAACCTGGGTTTGGTAAAAACTACACCCATATTTCAGAATCCCAACTTCACAATCTTTTGTTCAATCAACAGCTCCTTTATTACTGAATGACTTTATAAGTAATTGATTGAATTTATAAATGGTTAGCTATCTCTTTAAAAATTGTTAGAAAATGAAACCCGGGTTGTTGGAAAGAGCAACCAGCTATAAGATTTATGTAATTAACGCTTTGTGTAGCTTTTTCAGTCATTCATTCATCATGTACTTACTGAGCTACTTATATGTACCCAGCACTGTTTCAGGTA